AACCATTGTGGAAAGCAGTATGGAGGTTCCCAAAAAAATTCTAAATAGAAATACCATTTGACCCAGGAATTCCACTTCTAGGAATTTACCCTAAGAATGCAGGAGCCCAGTTTGAAAAAAGACATATGCACCCACATGTTTATTGCTGCACTATTTACAACAGCCAAGATATGGAAGCCACCTAAGCGTCCACCAGGAGATGAATGGATAAAGAAGATGTGGTACATATACACAATGGAATATTAGTCATCCATAAGAAGAAAACAAATCCTACCATTTGCAACAACATAGATGGAGCTAGAGGGTATTATGCTCAGTGAAATAAGCCAGGTGGAGAAAGACAAGTACCAAATGATTTCACTCATCTGTGGAGTATAAGAGCAAAGAAAAAACTGAAGGAACAAAACAGCAGCAGACTCACAGAACCCAAGAATGGACTAACAGTTACCAAATGGAAAGGAATTGGGGAGGATGGGTGGGAAGGGATAAGGGGGAAAAAAGGGAATTACAATTAGCACACATAATGTAGTGGTGGGGAACACGGGAAAGGCAGTATATACAGAGAAGACAAGTAATGATTCTGTAGTATCTTACTACACTGATGGACAGTGACTGTAATGGGGTATGTGGGGGGGACTTGATAATAGGGGGAGTCTAGTAACCATAATGTTCAAGTAATTGTACATTAACGATATCAAAATAAAAATCTATTTAGAAGTAAAAACAAGGTTAACAGTGTTGCAAGATACAAGGTCAACACACAGTATTCTATGGTATTTACATGTACTTGAACGATCCAAAGATGAAATGAAGAAAAAAATGAAATTGTTTTAATTACAATGGCATCAAAAAGAAGTGCAGACTTAAACTCTGAGAAATATAAAACATTGAAAGAAATTAAATGTCTAAATAAATTGAAAGACGTCTTATGTTCATGGATCAAAATACTTGACAAAATTGAGGTAGCAATACTCAAAATTGATCTACAGATTCAGTACAATTTACTAAAGTCTCAGCTGACTACTTTGAATAAATTGTTAATCTCTAAAAATTCATATAGTTATTTGAGGAATTCAGAATGATGAGAACATTTCTCCAAAAGAACAGTTGGAAGACTCACACATCCAGAATTCAGAACTTACCAGAAAGCTGCAGTAATCAAGATAGTGTGGTGCTGACATAGGACAGACCTATATATTATCTATCAGTGGGATAAAATTGAGAATCCTGAAATAAACCTTCACTTTTATAGTCAATTTTTTGACAAGAGTGACAAAACAATTCAGCAGGTTAAGGAATGGTCTTTTTGAATGGTACTGGAACAACTGTATGTCTTCGTGCAAGAGAACAAACGTGACCCCCCTACCTCATGCTATTCATAAAAATTTAAATGGATCAAAGAATTAAAACTGTAAAACTTTTAAACAGGAATAAATCTTAATGACTTTAGATTAAGCACTGATTTCTTAGGTATGAAACCAAAACACAAGCAACAAATGAAAAAATAAACTGGATTTTTCCAAAATTAAAAATTTTAGGTTTTTAAAACATACCAACAAAAAAATTGTAAAAACAGCCACAGAACATGAGGAAAAGTTTGCAAATCATATCTGATAAGGGACTGATATCTGGTAAGGTTTCAACCTAGAATTCAGCTCTTTCAAGTCAATCATGTAAAGCAGATAACCCAGTTTTAAAGTGGGCAAGCTATCTGAATAGGTATTTCTGTAAATGTCTTTGGTATCATGGTGCTGTCCTACAGCACAGGGTCAATACTAACAGCCAAAAAGCACATGGAAAGGTGTTCACTGTCACTTGGGAAATGCAAGTCAATGACAGTGAGGCACTTGCACCAAGATAATTACACAGGAAAAGACACATAATGAGTGTCTATGAAGAGGTATTAAAATTGGATCCCTCATTCACTTCCAGTGTGGATGTAAATTGGTTCACACCCTTTGTTAAAACACTCTCACCACTCATGAAAACATTTATAAATATAGAGTTACTGAATAACTCAGCAATTCCATCCTTGGGCATATACCCAAGAGAAAAGAAAATATAATGTCCATGCAAAAACTTGTATGTCTATGTGCATGGCAGCATTATTCATAAAAGCCAAATTTGGCTCTGTAGTAGGATTTGAATATCCAAAGTTATTCTTGAAAGTATAATATAAAAGGTAAAATCTGGGATGTAAAATTAAAAAGTGAAATAAGACACTAAAAGGAGTAATGAAGAAAAGTTTACTTTTTTAAAAAGGATAAGATTTACTCAGGTAATATTGTTTCATTTTTTACCTCAGTGGTTAAAGAAATATTGACTGAAGGATGCTTTTAGAAAATCTTTATTCCAGAATCCATGCAATTGTGAAGCTTATGTAGACCTTAAAAAATAAGGACATTTTCATATTAAGGTAGTACAGAAGTAACAAGTAACAAAAAGTAAAACATAACAGCAACAAAGCTGTAAAAATCAGAAAGCATAAAACTCAATTAAAACTTCAATGTCATTTATCATAAATATAATGGTTAATTTGTCCTATTTCAAAGACATACTCATTAGGTTAAAATATTTTCAGTAAATGTTATAAGAGACAGCTAAAAAATTGATGGGATTGGTAATAGTATATTGAACAGGAATTCCATCAGGTAAGTAAAAAAAGGAACATATTATTTTTAAAGTTTAAATTTAACAGGAAACTGTCAATTAACACATCTGAATGAAAACAAAGTTAGATCCTTTCACTATATGCTAAAATCAGTTCTAGATGGATTAAGGACTTAAATTATAAAAGACAAAGTAAACTTGAGAAAATAGAGATAACTAATCTTTCTGACTTTTTGCTGTAGTACAGTACCATGATTCCAGAGATGTCTGTGAAATGTAGCTTATTTGACCACAAAGAATTCAAGCTGATGAAAGAGAGTTGAGTTCAGGTGATGCTGAAGATCCCTTCAATTAGAATGAGTTGTTACTTTTTATTCTCCCAGTAATAAATTTCACTAAACCTCTCTACAACGCATAAACCTTCCCTTCACCTTTTAGGGAGTAACCTTACTTTATTTTCTTGGGCCTTTTACTGGCAGTTTTATTTGTTTTCCTTAAGCATTCTTCTGATGGAGAGGTTTTCCAGGTAAAGTACCTCTCCTTAGCCCCCTAAGTTTTGTCAACTAGCAAGTTGCACACTGTTACTACCAATTATCTCATGTTACTTATAAACTTTAATAATAATTCACTCAGAGCAAGCATTTCTACAGCATATTCACTCTGAGTTCTGCATTACTATTACATATTTTCATCACTTCACAGCCATGGTATAATTCTTTGTTCTTGGATAATCCAGGTCAGAAAAAGGCTTCTCCACCACCAGTAGGCTTCAGTATTTCACACATTACTATGGGGTAGGGAAGGATTTTTCAGAGGAGAGATCAAGCTTTGGCCATAAAAGAAAAAAAGAAATGTATAAATGTGTTTGTATTAAAATTAGGAACAGTAAAGACCACCCACAGAACAAGAGAAGATACCTGTAACTCAAAGTATTGACAAAGGATTATTACTAATAATTTATTTTTTAAGAACTAAATGAGGAAAGACACCCAATAGAAAATGAGTAATATAGAACCAGGAATTTTGCCAACAAGGAAATGTATAGCCAGTAAACATGAAAAGATGCTACTAATTAGGGAAATGCAAATTAAGAATAGTGAGATACTAATTTATATCCAAGTAGAATGGTAAAAATTAAGTCTGGCTCAGGGTGATGTGAATAGAGCTAACTCTTACACATTGCATGTAGGGATGTAAATTGGTACAAGTGCTTTGGGAAATAATTTGGTTAGCCTGAAGAGCTGAACATTTGTCCACCTTACTACTACCCAACAAACTCACTTAAGAAATGCTTGCAGATACGTACCCTGAAACAAAAATATTCACAGTAGCAATGTTAGGAAAACAAATCAGACAAAACTGGAAATGACCCTGATATCCTTCATAGATCATTGGATAATCGAATTTTATTATATGAACCCAATAGGTTATTATAGTATCACATAAGTATATGCATTATTGTTATACACAACTGCATGGATGAACTTTGGAGATATGAGTGAATAAACAATATTAGAAAAAACTATAGTTTGCTTAGAAACAAGCAAAATTAAACTATGTTGCTTACATGTTATATTTTTAATGAAACTAATTTACAAAAAGCAGTAGAAGTATAGCTCAAAACTTAGATTACCTCAGGATGGGGAAGAGGGGGAAGAACCCTTGGTAAACGTAGGTAAATGAAAAGTTACTGGTAGTGTTGAACGGTGGGTGTTTCAAAGCTGTTGAGTGTTTCCAGTATGTTGTTAACAGTTGATAATCAATCACATGTCTTTTCAATGCATCAAATTTAGAGAAATATTTACCCCAAAGTTTTCAGCTTTTCACTAATCTGGGCCTTTCCTAAAGGCACTGAGAAGGACTGTAGCAAGGTGGTCACACTGTTGGATGTTCTTGTAAGATTTACAGAGTAGTAAGATATTTAATTTGCAATCATTGAAGACTGTTCTCTCTCTTCACATCTTCATTTCTCCTTACCTTTGTGACACCTGGCAATAGAATGGTTTCAGGCAGTTTGTGAATGGAAATTGAATTAGTGTGGGTTTCATACAATGCATTTGTGGTTCACAGTCACTTTCAAGTAAAAGTAATTGTTGCCTATCAGCCTGATTGTGATGGGAACATGGTCTAGGGTGCTTAGCACCTGAAGTACATGAGTAGTGAAGAAACCAAGGATTGAAACATACAAAGTCAAAAGGTAGTAACAAAAATTTCCAATTAATCTGATGTCTAAAATCATAAGTAGAGGATTTAGCTTTCCAGTCGAAAGAGAAGTTTTCTCTTGTTAGAAATATACTCAAAACAGCACATTCAATTAGAAATTCACTGTAATTTTCTTTTTTGAGTAGGAATTCTGCCTTTCAAATAAAACAGGAATTTTGTGTTTATAGGGCACAAAGTTGTAGCAGTACCAACAAGAAGTTTAGGTGAACCTGATTATTTTATGCATCCTGATTATCAATTTAAAAAATCAACAACTAGAGGTAAGAGTTTGTCTGTTCTCTCTCTGGGAAATATTACAAAAGTTATGTTTATGAAGAGGCATCAACTATGCAGTTACACATGAAAAGTAGAGTTCTGTATTATAGGAGGCCCTTAATGAAAGTATGCTGTTTTTCTGGATTTTGTGATGTTATGTATACATAAGTTTTTTAAATTTGAATTTATTGTGATTTATTTTCTCATTCTAAATAAATACTCTCAGCCTTCAGCCCTCACAGATCCTGGAGCTGTATCTGATCAAATGATATCTTGAACAAAACAATATAGTAAAAGCTTGAAGTAAGAAAATAGATGATAAATGAAAAAGTTATGTAGGTAGCTGTCCTGCCAGTGGGTTTCAGCCCCAGGCAAGTTTGCTGTGGATTCAGTGTGACCAAAGAAATTGACAGCAAAACGTTCTTGGGGTGAAAGGGTTATACCCAAGTTTATTTCCAGGTGGCAGGTCAGTCACTAGAATCCCATTCACTCAGAGTGAGTCTGCATGCAGCAAGCTGGTCTCTGCCTCTGGGCCCTTCTGTCCACACAGTCGTCCTGCACAGCCATCCTCTGGGCCTCTGTCCTTGGCACTGCCACCACTCCAGCCTCTGATCTGATCTGATCTGCTCTCCTGCAGCCTTGCAGCCCTGCCACCATGTTGTGCCGAGAGCACTGGGCAGAGCTCTTTATATAGAGTCAACAGCCATATATTGCCCACAGGTGTGCAGTGAGCTAGTCAACCAGGTCCAGGTGAGAATCCTGGCCACAGGAACTCTTATTTTATCCACAGTAGCTTTGGCTGGGTTATTTGTGCCTTAAAAGGTCCTAGATTCTGCTTTTGAGTTTAAAAAGTGTTCTATAGTTTGTTAGATAACTGCTCTATTGTGTAATTTCTTTTTTATTATTATTATGCCTTTTGATTGCCTTATCATTTGGCAGTATTGCTTTCTTTTAAACCAGTTCAGATCAAACCAGTTCAGATTAAACTTAATGTTAATACTGAGGGATAAACGCTAAAATATTTTTCTCTGCTACGTAATAGGTTTTTCTTATTTATGAGAAATAATTACAAGTACTATGAAACCTAAATTGGCTTATTTGAACTGGCATGTGTGCATTTTTTATGCTCAGGACTATTGGAAGTTACTCCTGCAGGACCATTTATTTTGGGAATTTGAACATTAGGAAAAGTTTTGAGAAGGCGCCACTATGTGTAGAAAATGGAATGTTCTATATAAAATATGACCTTTTGTCCTTACAAAGAAATACAGTTTAATCTTTAGATTATCTAAAGTATGGCCTGCTTGATTTAACCAGATTTTAAGGATTAAAGCAGTGAGGTAATATAACAAAATTGGCCAAATAAATTATCAGGCTTTGGATGAAGTAGAGGCTTACTGGCAATATAAATTCTAAATTTATTTAGTTTAGATGTATAGAAAAAAATTTAAGTTATTTGTACATTTTCAGTGACAGATGAAAATGGATGTAATTTTCAATAAAAATAATTATCTAAATTTGGAGAGATAGTCTCAACATTATTTTAATATTGAAAATAAGTTAGCTTTTGTCTGTTGGAGAAAAGCACTTAAATATGGTATCTTAAATTGTAGGATATGAAAGATGGCAAGTCCAGAAAAAAGCAAACGGAAGATATTAAAAGCCAAAAAAACAATGCCTCCAAGTTGCCGGAAGCAAGCAGAGATTCTGAGTAAGTCAAAGAATGTTGAAGCCCTGAAAACCAAAGCAGTTGGGGACAATGTGTCAAGTGGCAATCAGAATTCAAGTACTGGTGTCGTAAGTAGCAAATGTGGACTTTCCGAAAATGACGCTTCCTTATTCGACTCAAACAAAAATTCGGTATGCATACCGAAAAGTAAAGTGTTTTCTCAGAATTTAACAAAACCACTAGAAGTCGTTGGTTCAGAAACAAGATTGGAATACATTGAAGAACAAGCTATGTGCCTGCACCAAAAGACACGTGAAACAGTAGAATCTCCCAGAAAACTCTTAACACAAGGGGCAAGAGATTCACAAAACATTTCTGAAAGTGGTGTTGAATGTCGAGCAGATATAAGAAAATCCTTTTTGGAACAACATGAAGAGGATTTTAATACGAAATCCATTTGCTTCCCATCCAGTACAGTTCAAATGCCAAAGTCTACAGTAACCAGTACCTTGGATGATAAGACAATTGACAAGAGACTTTCCTATTTAAAAGCAAACTCTAATTCTGAGTCACACAATAAAAGACAAAATGACATTTTAAGTTCAGACATCCATTTTGTGCCTGTTGATAAAATACCTAAGGTGGCCAATTCAGTAATTTCTAGTGACTGTGCTGCTGGCATTTTGAAAAGTGAGCCCTGTAGAACCTATCATTCCAGAATTTCAGATCGTGAAAGTACATACGCAACGCGGCTGTCATCACTTGACACTGACCATTGTAACAGTAAGTCTATACTTACATGTCTTTAGGAGAAACTAAAATAGTTCTTTTCTTTTGGGGGATTTTATAGTCTCAGGTATAGCAACATTAAAGTGCATATATGCAGGAAAAGAATAAATTATGACAATTATTTAATAGTATTTTGTTTCTGAACCATTCCTGGTCGGGAGGGTAATGGTAGCCCCCATATCCAAAGAGAAGTAAATTCTGGCAAAGAAGGAATCAGTCACTTTCCCTTAAGAGTACAAAAAATCCAAAGGGTTTTTTGTGGTGTACAGCAATTGTTTGGTTTATTTCATCTACATCTCTTCTTGTTTTTAAAGTTTTATTAGGTTAATAAGGAGACTAGTTGAAAGAGAATGGGTTTTTTAATTGTTGGTAAACCCATTTCTCTCCATAGAATTGATCTGTAAGTCACATGCCAAGTAAAAGCTGATAGATCGTAAGAATATATACACATATACATATACACTTGTGTGTGTAGAGTGAAAGAGAAATGAACCAAATAATTAACTAAAAGTTCTAAGGTTCTAAAGCCATAAAATAACAAAAGAAAGTTTCATTAGAAATAGGATGTGTTTGTAGGTGAACAGAATGTAAGAAAAAAATTTCAAAGGGTAATATTTTATTTATGCTCTTGGCTAGACTACAGAGTGATCATTTAACAAGAGGAATTTAAAGTTGCTTAAAAATATTAGCATCACCTGTTAAAAATACATAGGACTGCCTAAATGATTACTAATAAAAATAATGTAAGACTACTTAAGTAACTATAAATAGAGGATTAAATCCATAGTTCATTCAGTGTTTGTTGGGATTAAATAGGTGTTAAATGTGTATTAAATAAGACTAAAGGGAAAGTGTATTTGAGACCAGAAACCTACCTAAGATAGTCATCCTTTTTTAAGGATCTGCTGGCCAGAATTTTTTATATTATCACATTTTTCTAAAAAATACTGTCATGGCCATGTTTTAGTTTTTCCATTTTCTTAGAGGGTCCCTAAATGAGAGAATTCCCCTGTTCTCCACTAGAAGGAATATTTTTACCTCTGATCTTTCCATCTCCCCAAGGCCATAAACAAAAGAAGAGGATGTTTTCAGAAAACAAAGAAAATGTTAAGCGCACGAAAACTTCAGAGCAAATTAATGAAAATATTTGTGTAAGTCAGGAAAAGGAAACAGCCATTCTGGAAAAGGTAAAATATTGGGCCTTACATATTTGCTTCAGAAACTTAATTTTGATTAGTGAAAAATGGTGAAAGTTAATTGGTCTCACAATGATTAGTACAGAAGACTTTGACTTGCTGCAAAGCTGGTATATGGAAACTGAATCAGCAAATGGAAGTATTAGGGAAAGGTGATTGTTTACATTACCAAAACATGTCCAGTTTCTTGAAAATGATCCTATGCAGAATAACCTAGAGAATGTTGTGTAGGTAGAGTGCTGTGGTAGAAATAGAATCAGCATTTCAGTCAATTTTACACTCAGATCTCTGTGAGTCAGACACTGCATGACCTAGAGCCTGGCTGAACAATCCAGTCTTTTCTGTACTGGTCTTGGGGTTCTTTGATCTACAGCTGTAGCTGTTTGTAGTCTCTATCACAACTGACTACTCCATCATAGACTAAGACAACCAAGAAGTCCAGTGAAGAATCCTGCTGCATTTATGTTTACTTGCCCTAATTTCCAAGCTTACACAGATATGCTACTTTATATGGTACTTTGCTTTATAGCCTCATTAAATGCACATTTTGCTTTCATTTTTGCCCCATTTCAACTCTTACTACAGTTTTCATATATGTCTGATCAACTCTGAGTGTAAGAATGAGCTTCTGTCTCAGTAGGTCCTGTAATCAGGACCTGTTTGGGTGGTCATGTTTTGCTACTTTACTAACCCTAAAATGTCAGGATTAAAAGTAATTATGTGGTAGATTAATGTCACTCAGCTGTAATGGACCAAAATACCCAATCCAAACTATCCTGCTGTTTCAAAAACAAAAACATTAGTTTTCTGAAACAGACCATTGCAATTATATAGTTACATATCATATAAATGTGTATTCACTAATAAATGGAAACTTCTTTGAGACACTCAGGTAGAACAGCTTAAAACTTAAGTCAACAGTTCTTTCCTTTCTACCTCTTTCTTCCAGGAAGATCAAAGGAGACACTAATAAAAAATATGTAAATGTTCTGTTGTGTACAGGGAAGGGGTAGCAGAATTATGGGAAGCATGGATCTGGTTTAAGAAAAAGGTTGGGGATTCCAGCTGCATCTTACTCTCAATGATTAGTAGGTGAATTTAGAAATAAGTTCTGGTCTGGACATACAAAGACAACATTTTAATTTCACTGGCATGATAAAAGCAGGTTTTTCATTCACTACTGTTACCTGCCTCACAAAATACTTGGTCCAGGTTGATACAGAAAATGGTTTAGTGAATGTAATTTGTATTCCTCCATCTCACTGAAAGTTTCTTGCACATTCTTCAGAGACAACTTAGGTTTTAGCTAATTCGTATCTTTTTACCTGTCTCAAAAGAACTAACTTTCCCTTGCTTTTGTTATAATTCCTGTCTTAACAGTTATCTCTGTAGAGCACATCTGTTTGTTTTTCTTGTTTGAATCCCAGTAGCACATAGGATTTCCCTACAGAGTCCCAAAGCTGTTGACTCTGATCACTTGAGTTTACGTAAGGATCCCAGCCCACTTGATTCCAAATATTGAAGTAGAGGGGTTTTTCTCTTCAAGTCTGAGTCTTTCACTCTACCCATCGTTTTAGAAAGTCGAGGCAGATGAGGGATATAAAACTGCCAAACTTTCTCCACTCTTTAGGCTACCGTGGCTGCCGTCTACAAATTGTAGCCTGTACTTCCATCCGATCCCATCATTGTAGACACATTGCTATCTCCAGAGACATTTGTGAGGTGTTTGGTAGAGGTTGTGACTTCCTCTGTATGAGGAGTGTCACCAGTACACGAGAGCAGATGTCCACTCCAATCAGGAGGATCCAGCCCTTGGAGGGCATTTATCAGTCAAGTTTTAAGAGTCTGCCTCCATCTGAGTCATCAGGAGTACTTGTTTAAACTGTGGTTTGTTGAACTCATTAATAATTAGACTATTATTTTAGGCTCCTCTTTTCTCCAGCTTACCTGCTAAGAATCACTAGTAGTGTTAACACAACTTTCCAGGCCCCTTTCCAGGCAATTCTGTTCAGTGAATCCAGAGTAGGGCGTAGGAAGTTGTGTTTTTTTACACATATCCCATGTGATTCGCCCTCACCAGGGAAGTTAGACAAACATTATGTGGCCTTTGCTTGTTAGCCAAACAGTATTCCATATTCAAACATTTAGATAGGTTTCTCCAAGACTGACCTGAGTGTGATCTTCATATATCTCCAGACGGTGAATTGGTAAAACATGCAGTAATCCATAAAAACTACACATGGGTGACAAGTAATGTGTCAGTAAAAACAATATGTTTCTGAGCACTTACTTACATAATACACAAATTTTGAGCACTTACTAATTAAAAATTAAAAGTGTGAAAGTAAAAATGACAAGTCTAAGTGTTGAGAAACCACTGAGATGTTAATGAAGCATTACAGAAGAAATCAAGTAAACGATACGTTGAAGAGCAAGAACAATAGAAAATGACAAGGAAAAACTTTGGGAATAATCAAGTAAAATTACTGAATATGACCCATCATCCAGATGATATTGATATAAAAGAGTTTAACATAGAAACTGTGTTCCAGTTTTGAGCACCAAGTAACAAGATAGTAGGGAAAAGGTATTAAAAATTACTAATAAATACCTTAAAGGTATCATGACAGGGTTCATTATTAATAGGGACTATCATTATGAAAGTTGCTTACAGGAAGGATACAAATTAAGCAAAAAACTACAGTGGATGTTTCTGAATGTTTGGCCCAGCAGAGCTGTTCTTACCAGTGGCCACTGAGATTAATTATGCTTCCTGAAAATAGGCCAGTCTATTTTCTAAAAAACAGCGAGGTAATGAAATGCATTAAATGCTTCATGTGATAACTACTACAATCTGTTAGAATAGCATGCATTATGCCAGATAGTATTAGTCACTACATAATTGGTCCCTGGCTTCTTTCAGTTTTAGCAATAAGAAAGCCACCCCCTAAAAAACTATGTAATTAAAGGAGATCATCTTGTGTACTTCCTTCCTTCCTATCGATTCACTGTTTTTCATTTTGTGGAGCTCTTTCACACGTTATCTTTATATGTTCTCATAAAAATCCTATGAGCATCATTTGTTCAACTTTGACCCATTTGTGGACAGGGAAAATGAAGCTTAGATGTTGTGACTTCCCAAGGTGCATATCTTCTTAGTGGCAGGGTCAAGTATCTACTACAGACCAACCAAGCATTTTCAGTAGGCTCTGGTTCTCAAATAAGTGGAGTTCCTTTTTATGGAATACTAGGTTCCAGTTATGGTCATTAAAAAATGTAAATGGGACATAGGCTTTTATTGTTCCTTTTATATGTATTAATCAATGAACTACAGAAAACTAAAATTAGCACTAGCAGAATATACTTAATTTCAAATATCTGTATTTAAATATTAGGTGTGTTATGCTGAATTTGATATTCAACTTTCATAAAGCTTACTTAGTATAGTAATATAAACATAAAAGTATAAGATACTTTATTGGTTCCAGTAAATCCAGAAATGAGCAAAGCTATTATAAGAAGTAGAAAATAAAATTGCTTTTAAGTTTGAAACATGGGGTGTTCTGGTTTTTATTTTAAAATTCTAGGTCAGACATTTGATTCGACAGGAGACCTATAGTGCAAATTACAAACTATTTGATAACAAACTGAAAGAATTGACTGAGCGCATTGGGAAGACACAGTGCAGGAATAAGCATGAAGCGATAGCAGGTGAACTCTTCGTAAGTTTCTAATTTCATTTGATTTCACTTGAGTCCTTTTAAAAATTAGGATTTGGTGATATTTTACATGTTAGGAAAGGAAAAGAGTAAAGGCAGACACAAATCTGATCCCTGGCTACAAGCCTGATATGCTATATCCTAGGTAACAGAATTTATTTTATCTTAGCAGTATTGGCCCGAGCAATGCTTTCAGAAGTATCAGCCATTCTTTGTCAATTGACAGGCTTAATACATAGGCAGATTCTTTTGATTGAAAATACATTTCTGTATTTGAACTTGTACAAACTTTGGAACCTTTTGGGAGTCTCTTATTTGTTTACTCTTCCAAGAGTCCTTGCTAATTGGTGTTTCTACCAACATTAATGTTATTGTGGACCAATTAGAAATTTGACAGCTTTATCTTGCATGCTTGAATGTTGTACTAGCATCAGTTGTGATTTAAATCGTTGGTTTATCTAAGAATTTCTCACTTATTTGGGTGGATGAAAAGTCTCACAAAACTACTTTGGCAAAAAGATTTCCCTCCATCTCTATTATATATTTTGTAGTACTCTGGTTTCATATTTATTCTTCTCTTTTTCCTTTAGGCAAAAATAACAAAACTTCAAAGATGTATTAAAACAATTTGGCTATCTCAAAGGAATTGTTCAAAACCAAACAGCTTATCCAATGATACAGCCTATAAGGTTGGTATTAAAACATGTCGGACTTTTAATAACTTAGTTGACCCACATTATAAGTAGCTGTATTTTAAGAAATGAATATATTTCCATAATAAGATAAAAGGCTTAGAAGAAAATAAATTTATACTTAGTATGTTCCTATCACTCTGTCTCTGGATAAGACACCCTTAGGTAGCCAAAAGTAAAGGGCACTTAGGTTTCTTTCACAAGTGAGTAGAAGAGTGACTTGTGATTGCCTAGACTGGCCCCCTTCCCACCATTTTATTACAAAAATTTTCGAACATAAACATCAAAGTTGAAAATTTTACAGTGAACACCTAGTATACTGGACACCTAAATTCTATGTTTACTATTTTAATACCATTGCCCCTTGAACAAAATAGAGATTAGGGGCACTGACGCCCCTGAGCAGTCAAAAATCCACATACAACTTTTGATTCCCCACTTAGCTACTAACAGCCTACTGTTGACCAGAAGCCTTACCAGTAGTAAGCAGTCAAGACAGTTAACACATATTTTGTATGTTATATGTACCATATATTGTATTCTTACAGTAAGCTAGAAAAAAGAACAGTTTTTTAAATGGTCGCAAATCTCCGAAAAGTTTTCCAGTATATATATTGAAAAAAATTCATGTGTAAATTGACATGTGCACTTCAAACCCATGTTGTTCAGTAGTCAACTATATATTTTTGTCACATATCTGTTCCATCTGTTCAACCTCTAAGCTGTCTTTGTATATGGTACATCCAAAAGTATTAATGTATTTTGTATCAAAATGCACTTTGCAATCTAACTTCTAGAATATTTCAGCATGCATACAATTAGAGTTTGGTATCTGTTTATAGTTTTTATATGAAATTTTACCTTCAGTATAATTCATTGAATTTTTTTCTTATAGTGTCTTTATTTGCTTTGTTATCATATGCATGTTAGCCTCAATGAACTGGGGAGCAATTTTACCCTCTTTTTCTGAAAGTTTGTGTAAGGTTTTTATTACTTCCTTAAATGTTTGATAAAATCCATCTCTGAAAACTATCTGGGCAAGGAGCTTTCTTTGTTAGAAGACTTACTTGAAAATACAATTTTTTAATAGCTGTAGGGCAATTCAAATTTTTCTGTCATCTTGAATCAGTTTTATAAGTTAGCTTTACAGGGAATTTATCCATTTAATCTAACTTGTTGAATTACTGGCATGAAGTAATTGATAAAATTCCCTTGTCCTTTTAATATTTATGTATCAGTAGTGATATACTCTGTTTTATTTCTGATACTGGTAAACCTATGTTTTCTTGATTAGTTTTGCTAGGGTTTTTAAATCTTATTAATTCCCTATCACTTGTTTATTTTCTGTTTTTTATTATTTCCTTCCTTTTCCTTACTTCGGGTATAATTTGTTCTTTTTCCAGCTTCTTAAGAGTGAAAGAGCATTAATTTTTAGCCTTTTCTACTAAAAAACATTTAAAGCAATGAATTTGCTTCTAAGCATCTTCTCAGTGCTTGGATTATACACTTCTTAGTGCATAGGTTATAACATAATGTTTGATATACTATCTATTTTTTTCCGTCAGTTCAAAATAATTTCTAATTTCCGTTGTATTGTTCTTTGACCCATGGATTATTTAGAAGTGTGTGTTTAACGTCCAAATATTTGGGCTTTTCTAGATACCTTATTTTTTTTATATCTAATTTCATTTCATTTTGGTCAGAGAACATACTATGTAAAATTTCAGTATTAGGAGTTATTGAAACTTATTTGATAGCCCAAGATATGCTTTCTCTTGGGGAATGTTCCATGTACACTTAAAAAGAATGTTGGGTGTAATATTCTATAAATGTCACTTCTGTGTCAGTTGTGTCAAGGTGGTCGATAGTGGTGAATAATGGCCCCAAGAAGATGTCTATGACCTAATCCCCAAAAGCTATGAGTATGTTAGCTGTACATGGTAAAAGCAGCTTATAGATGGGGTGATTATCCTGGTGGGCTCAATATAATCACCAGGGTCAAAGGCAGAAGGAGAAAATGGGACAATGGAAGCTGAGGTTGAATGACTGCACTGAATACAGAAGGGGCTGTAAGCCAAGGAATGCTGGCAGCTTTCAGAAGCTGGGGGGAAAAAAGCAAACATTCTCCCCCAGAAATCTCCAGAAGGGATGTAGCCCAGCCAGCAACTTGATCTTGGTTTAGTGAAACTGATTTCAAACTTCTGGCCCCCAGACCTATGATAGAATAAATCCCCTATTGTTTTAAATCACCCAGTTGGGGTAATTTGTTATAGCAGCCTTAGGAAACTAATACAGAATGTGGTACCAGAAAGTGGGGCCTAAAGAGGAGGAGGTGGATTGGGAATGAGATAATGGGTAGAGGCCGGAAGAATATTGAGGAGCATGATTTTTGAAAAGCCTGAACTGCTTTGAACAGACTCTCAGGAGAACTCAGATGTTAAAGACTACAACTGAGGGCTCAGAAGGAAATGAGAAACACCTCAGAGAAAGCCTGCATAGTCCAAGAAAATACCTGAATCTTCATAAACAGACTATTGGTAGAAATATGTACATTTAAAAGCACTATTGGTGAGGATTCAAAAGAAAATGAACATGTTAGTGGAAACTGGAGAAAAGGGATTATTGTTATATAGAGGTGGAAGCTTAGCTAAATTGTGTCCTACAGTGATAGGGAAAGCAGAACTTACAAGTGATGAACTTGCATTTTTATTGGGCTGACAAGATTTTTGAGCAAAATTGAATGTTAGGCTTGGTTTCTCGCTTTTTATGGCAAAATGTGAAAGGAAAGAAATTAATGGCAAAACTGTTTAGCAAAAAGGAACCACACTACTTGACGTAGAAAATTCTGAATCTATCCAGATGGCAGAAGACCCTAAAATAAGAGGTTCCCTGTCTGAAAAGCATGCCCTGGAGAGAAAGCCAATGGTGTATTTGGATAGCCTTTTGCTAGTGCCTTTGAAGGATCAAAAGGTCAGAATATTCAGAGATGAGGCATTTGAATCTTTTTCAGCAGGTAGTTACCCTGTTGAGATTTAGTGTGGCTGTCTTTTGTGAGCTGTAGTTTCAATGACCGTTCACTTTTCAAAGCCCATGGGGCATGCTCCTGGTTGACGTCATTCTTCTGGTGCCCCTGGATCTCCTGTTGAATCCAGGCAGCACCTGCTGCCTGGGCTCCCCAGCTATGTTGGTGGGAAATTAAAGAAACATTGGCCTATGGTCACTGCCACTGCAGGGGATTGGGCCTGCCCCTGCCCCAGGTGCAGAGCAGGACACTGCTCATGACTTAGGAGTCCGCACCCGCCACTGTCCTCAGGGTGGGATGTTAGCCCTGCTGACAGTGCAGTGGAGCTCCCCGGCTCGTTCCAGGTGTCAGGTGGAGGCCCAGCTGACACTACTACTGCAGCAAATCTGTCTGCTGATTTCTGCACTTGTAGAGTGGATGATTAGCCACCCCTGCTCCAGACTTAAAGAAAAAGATGGGTCCCTGGCCTTTCTGGAACACAGCACAGGATAGTGGATAATAAAAAGAAAACTCAGGAAACTCACTGTGGTGTTGCTCCTCAGATTTGAGGTCCCCAGGCAGTCTGCCCTCTTCCTTCCTCCTTTCAGAGATGTTCTATGATTATCTGTGGAATTATTTCCAGGGTCCTTAGTTGTGCCTAGAGGGGAGGAGCAGAGAAAAAGAAAAGTGAGTCTATGCCACCTTGTCCTGGAACAGAAGGGATACCAATTTTTTTTGCTATTTTTTCCAGTGTTATCTGAACCTGTGTCTACATATAAAATCTGTATGGCATTTCCGAATTTTGCATTTGTGTACTTGCATTTTTGTTCATGCTTTCTGCCAGAAAAACCCGTGAGCCGGGCAACCAATTGATCCTTTTGTACTGATGAAAACACAAATATTTAAAATGCTGCAAGTTCTCAACCAAAGCATGGACTAAATATTGCAGCTCCAAGTTTTAAACAAAACTCCTCCAATGGAAGAGCAAGTTGGAAATCTGATTTATTCCTGGTCTTGTCATTATTGGGGGTATAATAAAAGTAAGAAGTTTTCTTAAGTCTGATGTTCTTAAAACTTAGCCTAATAGGAATAAAATGTCTAAATACTTAGGTATTTGTTTTTCCTTCTTTCCATCCAAGCTAGGAAGTTGATTTTTACTGTCATTTTTATTTCTTTGAAGTATTGCTTTTTATTCATTCGGTCAGAGAAACTGCAGTTGTGGTCATCAGCCACTGAAACACATATAATTGAATATATAATTTGCCCTGTGTATTTGAGAACATTTCCAAGTGAAATTTTACCTGCCATCAGTTTTGTGTGGAAGAGCATTGCTGGCTACCTGCCCCACGTCAACTGTTTTCTCCTCACCCCGTTAACAGGTTGCAAACTCAGAGACCACAGATTCGGATGAGAATCCAGAACCAGTTATTAGTCCAAATAAAAGAAGGATTTATGTGAACTCTGAACCTTCTAAATATGCAAATGAAAAGATTCACTTGTGGCAGGATCATGACAAGGCTGTTTCTGAAAGGTAGGCATTTCTACATGCAGAAACTTATATACCTAAGCATACACTTATAACATATACCCTTCTCTCAATTAAACATAAAATATCTTAAAGCTTTATAGTCATATGAACACTATATTGGTCAGTTATGAAGGAATGGGACTCGTTCTCCAAAGCTTTTATCATTGTTTTAATAGCACTCAATAAAATTTTGAATTGGTTAGGTGCTCAGGTTTTTCAGTGGGATCCTTTCCAGCTTTCATTTCTGGACTGATCCCTTCCAGTAGCTGGCAGTTCTACAGATAGAAAACTGAAATCGTAGCTTAAAAAAACTTACACAGAAAATTAAGGCTAGGAAAGTAAGACAAGGAAAACAGTGCCTAAAATTCATTCTCTGCATGTCGAAAGTCATATTATTTTAACTTCAAATTTGAGTGAACAGGTTTACTTATTTGTCTAAGTGAGTCACACAAAGCACCCAATTCTGTGATCTAGTTTAAAAGATTTGGGACCAGTGGGGAAAAAGTAGTTGATCTTAACAAAGAAACATGATCGGTGATCCTGACCTCGGTTGATGTTGAGGGGTGGGAGGGGGCCCCATGTTAATGAATTATTTTCACTGGTAGTTCTCAGCAGTTTTGAAACTTTATCATATTATTTATTTATTCTGAACATTCACTCCTTTAAATGTTCTGTGGCTTTACTTTTATATATTTAATTACACCTCAGCTTTTAAAGAGGAAAATATATAACCAAAAATAAGTGAATTAAATCATGGCCATTGTTTGAAGAATAATACTCTTTCCCCAAATAATTATGCATACTCAAAGATGCTAAAACATAAAGGGGGGAAGCATTACAGATCTACACCATTCACAGTAGTAGATTCTTGGTATTTGGGAATTTATGTGCAGTTTTGACTCTTTTGGGAAAAACCCTAATATAGAGGCCTGTGTTTAGCTTTGAGCCTGGAAGCTGCTGTGAAGGAGGCATTTATTTAGTTGGTGAAGGCAAAGGTCACGTTGGAGTGAGTCTTGTCATTACCACTTGTTAATGCATGTCCTCAAACTCATAGTGACAAAAAAAAGAAAATTCTAGCAAAAGTAAAAAGTGAAATAGCATTTTATAGACAAATATGTCAGATTTATTGGTAGCTTACATCTATGAGATGAACAATCCTCCTTATGCTCTATAATAAAAGAAGAACCTGTAATTTCTGAAACTTTTGGCAGTACTGTCAGCCCATGGCAAGAGTTGGGAATAGGTGTAACACATGTGTATGTAATGTGACTGGGATGGGTGGGCTCAGTGGTGAGTTTTATGAAACAGTTAAAAGGAAGAACACCACCAGCTCTGAACAACTTTTCCAAAAAAAGAAAAAGAAGGGATATTCTTCGGTTCATTATATTGAGACAGGGACCATGGGATTAGGCAGAGTAGGATGAGGGCCTCCGGAGAAAAAGCAGAGCAAGATAATTACAGTCAGAACAATGTAACAATATGCAAAGAAGTCCCTATCAAAACTCTGTGTTAAACATTATGCAAAGTCAGAGTCACACTAATTCTCTAGGGTAAAGATTTGTATACATGACTAGGAATATAAACATTCTTCAGTGAAGTCGCTTAAAGCTCAAAGGCCAGGAGCAACTTGGCCTGGAATGTTTGAGTGTTGTGCAGATAAAGAAAAGTATCTCAGCATAAACCATCACTTATTGTATCAATTATATCATGACAATGTAAAATTTACCTTATCCTGCTAAAAGGCCCAGTTTATTTTAATTTTAACTATGTGCTATTTTCCCTTCCTTAATCGTAATCAAGTAATGTGCAACCTAGGCAAAAGACTACTTTGGTAAGCAATCTCAACTATAAACAACGCAGGCAAACAGACAACAACCCAGCCCACCTTGGGGGCAGGGCATGCAGTCTTACAAGTCTGTACCCCTAACCCTTTACCCTCATTCCTGAAAATCCTCAACTGCCCATAAAACCCCTAGACAATGAGCCAACCACGGACTCTCTTGTCCCCTCCTGGCGTGAGCCGGGAGCTCTGTCCTCTCACTTCATCTCTAAATAAAAGCCTGTCCCTTGCTCTCCTACCTTGAGTGTTTGTGAAGCTCATTCTTCAGCTTCGTGAACAAGAACCCCGGCATCAATATGAGACTAGATACTAAAATATACTGTTTCTCTGATACTGAAATCAATTTAAAAATTTTACAGAGATGGAAATTTAAAGTCTACTTTTACTCATAAAATAAATGTAGATATCTTAAAGAAGATACTGATAAACCAGGTTCAACAATCTATATAAGTTGAGTTTGTCCCAGGAATGCTCTAAGGTTGGTTCAACAACAACAAAAAAAATCAATTAATGTAATCTGCCAGATGAATCATTATCAGCTCACAATAGCTGTAGGATTTGATAAAATACCTATTTATAATTTTTAAAAAATGCTTGGCAAACTTGGAATAGGAGGTAATTTACTTAATCTGATCATGAATATCTACCAAAACCCTCTAACAAATCTGAGGGTGAAATACTGGAAGTATTCCCTTTGAGATACAAAATACAAGGATGGCTGATGTTCACCAGTTTAACATCATACTGGGTATCTTGGCTAATGCAAAAATGTAAAAAAATGAAAGAAAAAGAAGTAAAAATATAAAGGATTCAAAAAGAAGGAACTATAAGTATTATTACTCTCCTTGGATGATTGAGGTATGTAGGAAATACAAAGGAATTTACAGGTAAATTATTAGGATTAATAAGAGTTTTATAAAGTATTTAAGAAATCATATTTCAATATATTAACAATTAGGAAATGAAATTTTTAAGAAGATACAATACCATTACAGTAGCACCAGACATATCAAGTACCTAAGAATACATTTAACAAGGCATGCAATAACTGAAGAAATTCACGAACCTTTGAGAGATCCTAAAGAATTCAGTGGAGAAATGTATTATGTTTATGATTCAGACACTGCAGTATTATAAAGTGTTTTAACTTTTGTTCAAATTAATTTGAGTACAGTTTCAGTTTCCCAATGTGTAATTTCATGAAATTTGACAAGCTGATTTGATTCTAATGGAAATATAAATGCAGTGAGTTAAGCAGTCAAGATATCCTTCAAGTAAAGAAACAAAAAGGAAGGAATTTGACACTAGATATCAGACACCACAAAACTGCAGTAATTAGGATCATGTGATATTGGCAAATACTAGACAAATGGAGCAGTGTAACAGAGTCCAGAAACCTATGCTTATATGTATATGTGATACATCATGGAGATTGTGTGGTATATCATTTGGGAGGTGACTGACATTTAGTAATGGTACTGTTAATTTACTATACATTTTTGGGGAAATATGAAAGAAATTGGATCCCTTTGTTAGGTATAAATAAAAATCAATCTCATGTGGTTGAAGGCACTAAATATCTAAAGGAAAATTATAAAGCTTTTAAAATATAATATAGAATGTCTTCATGAACTTTGGATAAGGAAAGATTTCTTGACACAATTACCCCCTCCATAAAAAAAAATTGATCAATTTTACCACCTTAAAATTAGAAACTTTTCTCAAAAGGCACTATGATTATAGTGAGAAGACAGGCCATGGAGTGGGAGAAGATACATGCAGCACATATAGCCTGTAGAAGACCAGTACCCAGAATATATATAAAGACTTCAAAAAAATCAATGAGTAAAAACCAGATAATACAAAAGAAAAATGGGCAAAAGACTTGTACATTTACTTCACAAAAGAGAAATTCCAAATGGTCAATAAACATATGAAAAGGTGCTTTATTTGCATTAGTATCAGGGAAATGCAAATTAACACCACAGTGAGGTATCATTTCATATCAGGTAAAGAAATGTAAAACAGTTTAAAATCTGACAATACCAGGGATTTGTGAGCTTTTGAAATAAAGGGAATTGATTTTATTTAATATTTTGTTGTTAGGTGAGTAAATTGATGTAGTACTTTAGAAAAAATTTGGCATTGTCTAGTAATATTTAAGATTTGAATATCCTTTAGCCTAGCAGTGCCATCCCTTGATAGATACCCTATATGTGTGCAATAGGATATATAGAGAGAAATGCATAGAGCAGCATTTTCCATAATAGCCAAAAACTGGAAGGAGAAAAAGTACACCTAAAGTTGAAAAGAAAAATGAATTGCCATAAATCCATTAATTTCATTTATGTACATGGAATTCTGTACATTAATGAAAATGGAAGGAACTCACAGCAGTGTAAATTACTCCCACAAGAACATTATCGAAAAGCACACACAAAAGAACAGTATGAAGTTCAAGAACAGCCAGAAAAAAATGTGTTATTTAGGAAATCAAAGCTACATAGTAAATCTAAAGAGTAAAACAAGGAGATTAACACCACAAATGCTATTTATGGAGGAGATTTATGATACGATAGAAGCATGTGAGTTTCTCTACTGCTGATAATTTAAAATGTATTACCTGAATGGTAGCTACTTGGGTGCTAGCTTTGTAATTATTAGACTGAACATGTATTTTTAATCTAATTTGAAAAGTCATTAGAAAAATTTAGATATTTTATGTTTAATGTAGTTTGATATGCATGAATTCATAACTACAATCTTAACTACAGTTGACCCTTGAAACACCGTGGATTTGAATGCATGGGTCCTCTTATATACAGATCTTTCACAATAAATACTTTGGAAATTATTTTGGAATTTAATACATATAACATAAAATATGTGTTAATTGGCTCTTTATGTTATTGGTAAGGCTTCCCATCAACAGATGCTATTAGTAGTTTTGGAGAAGTCAAAAGTTAACACATGGCTTTCAGTCAGCAGTATGCTATTAGTAGTTAAGTTTTAGAGGAGTCAAAAGTTATATGTGGATTTTTTACTGTGCCAGGGCAGAGGTGGAGGTGGGGATGGGTCAGTGACCTAATGTCCACATTGTTAAAGATCCACTGTTGTTGTGTTCTATTTTATCATTTTTTCCCTGTGTCTATTTTAGCCTTCT